TACTTTCAAGATTTTATAAACCCACAAGCGAAAATGTTAATAAAACATGAACCTATAATTTTAGATCCATTAATTTAGATCCATAGCCCAATAATCTCTGGTCTGCTGGAACTGATTGACAAATTTCAAACATACGGAATATTAAACTATATCAAGCTTAACACTAAGAAAACGGAATTTCTGATCTCTGGTAAATGTTCAATTTCCAACATCATTATTCAAATTAACGGAACTAATATACATCTCCCAAATAAATTAAAACATCTGGATTTCCAATGGGATAAGGATACCAACAAAAACAAAATTGCAACACTTCAAAAAAAACAACCTAAATGAACATGTAACGCAGTTTCAATCGGTTGCAATAGCTCTAATTGACAGTGGAATTCGTTTTTGTCAGCCGTCAACAATAGTCCATTTTTTTGTATTTCAAAGTATAGCAAAATTACCTACATTGTTTTTTTAAAATAGAAGATATTTCAACTACTCTTCTTCGAAATAAAGTAAACCTAACCATACGTAAAAAACTCTTTGAAGAAATGCGAGCTCACAGGAATAACGGTAAATATTCTGTCGTTATTTATGATAAATTAGTAGTTAAAGATTTTAAAAAATCTCATAAAAATGCTTAAAGTTTATTTATTTTTTGTATATATTTTTTGTAATTTAAATAGTATTTTTATTTATTATTGCTAAAATGGCGGAAGCCAGCAATAATAATGTTTTTGACATATCAGGAAGGAAAAACACACTAAACCGAAGTAATGACGATGATAAAAATATTAACATTTTTGACGAAATTTTAGTAGAAACGGCTTATTTCAATGTTGACGATGTTAATCATGTTCTTAATTCTTCATCATCCCATTTTTCATTATTACATTTAAACATCAGAAGCATAAATAAAAACTTTGATAATTTAAAATTTATGTTAAATAATATAAGTAACAAGTTTAGTATTATCTGTCTGACTGAAACTTGGTGTCATCGAGACACGATTAATTCTAACTTTCAATTATCAGGATATAAATCCATTCATCAACCTAGAGTAAACGGCATTGGTGGGGGCGTATCAATTTTCGTCCAAAACTCATTGACTTTTAAGTACATAGAAAACCTCAAAGTAAATGACGTTGATTGTGAGTCATTTACAATTGAAATAATTAATAAAACAAATAAAAATGCATTTATAACAGCATTATATAGACCACCTAATGGTAATTACAATCAATTTGAAAACCACTTAAACTACTTGCTACCAAAGCTCATAAAAAAACATGTGTATTTATTAGGTGATTTTAATTTGAATTTTTTGAATTATAAAACAGATAACCACGTCGTGCGTTTTACAAATACACTTTTGCAGTACAACCTTTTCCCTATGATTAACAAGCCAACACGCGTGACTAAAACAACTGCATCCATTATCGATAATATTATTACTAACAATTACACAAGCGTGGAATGGCATAGTGGTATTATTAAAACAGATATAACTGACCATTTTCCAGTTTTTCTGAGTACATATTCTGCAAACCCTGAGAAACATACAAAAACAAAAACTGTATATGAAAGAAAAATAAATAATGAATCACTCGCCACGTTTCGAGACCTCTTACAAGAAGTAAACTGGGAACTATTGACTGATTGCAATGACGTAAATAACGGCTATGAATTTTTTATTCACGTGTTCACTAAGCAATACGAAAAGGCCTTTCCAAAATTTAAAAAAATTATTAAACCTAAAAGTTTGCTTAGTCCGTGGATGACGAAAGGACTCATTAAGTCGTCAAAAAAGAAACAAAAACTTTACCAAAAATTTCTTAAAAAAAAGAACTACAAAAACGAAATAAAATACAAAAAATATAAAAATTATTTTGAAAAATTAAAAAAGCAATCAAAAAAAAAATTACTACTCTTCATTACTTAATAAAACATTTGGCAATGCAAGAAAAACTTGGAATGTAATTAAAGAAATAACAGGCGTGGGTAATGTAAAAAAAGACAATTTCCCAAAAAGATTACAAAGAGATGACAATTTAGGTGATGCTTCTGTAAATAAAGAAATTGCAGAAACATTTAACAACTTTTTTATAAATATAGGAAAAAAACTAGCCGATGCAATTCCGGAGGGAAAAAAATCATTTAAATCCTTTTTGAAAAAATCTGATTTCTTCATGGATGAGTCAGAGCTTTTGATTGAAGAACTTCGGCAAGCGATTAGTATGCTTAAATCAAATAAAAGTGCGGGTCTGGATGAAATTAAACCTGATGTTGTAAAAGCTGTCTCTGATATCATAGAGAAACCCCTTTTCATAATTTTTAATCTATCCCTAAAAAACGGCATTTTTCCCGACCAACTTAAATTAGCAAAAATAATTCCAATATACAAAAGCGGCGACGACTCAATAATATCTAACTATAGACCGATTTCCATACTTTCCTGTTTTTCCAAAATATTAGAGCGTATTATGTTCAACAGGCTGTACAATTATCTTGAAAAAAATAATATTCTTTATCATAAACAGTTTGGTTTTCGAAAAAACCATTCTACGGAACATGCCGTAATTGATCTTGCGAACCAAATTTTACAAGGTTTTGAAAACAATTGTTACACACTTGGAATTTTTCTAGATCTATCAAAGGCATTTGATACTGTAAACCACAAGATTCTTATCTACAAACTACGTAGTTACGGAGTAGTTCACTCTAATTTAAAGTGGCTTCAATGTTATTTAGAAAACCGTAAACAAGGTGTACCATATGATCTAACATGCTCCCCATTTGAATCAATAAGTTGCGGAGTTCCACAAGGATCAATACTTGGACCTTTATTGTTTTTAGTTTATATCAATGATATTTTTTTGTCTTCAAAAATACTTAATTATACTATTTTTGCTGATGACACTAATGTTTTCTTTTCTGACTCAAATTTAAAAAATATTTTTTATTATGTAAACGCTGAACTAATATATCTTAATGAGTGGTTTATAGCAAATAAACTATCATTAAATATTGAAAAAACTAAATATATTTTGTTTGCTAAACCATCTCAATCCGAGAACCTTCCACTTAAACTTCCAGAACTAACAATTAACAATATTAAAATAAAAAGAGTTTTTTCAATGAAAATACTAGGAATAAATTTCGATGAACATTTAAATTGGAAAAGCCAAATAAAGTTAGTCGAGAACAAAGTTTCAAAGACTGTGGGGATTATGTACAGGACAAAACATCTTTTGAATAAAATATGTTTAAAAAACTTATACTTTTCATTTATACATAGTCATATTAACTATTGTAATATTGCCTGGGCAAACAATCATTCATCTTTCCTAAAAAATATTTATACTAAACAAAAGCAAGCATATCGATTAGTTTTGGGCGCAGATAGGTACGAAAGTGCCAAGCCGTTACTCAAGGAAATTAATGCGCTAAACGTATACGAACTAAATATATACCATAACTTGTTATTTATGTTTAAACTTCAAAATGAACTAATTCCAAAATATTTTTATAAAGGTTTCTCTCTAATTAACCATAAATATGAAACAAGACACTCAATAAATAATTACTACATCCCACCAACATCACTCAAAAAATCTGACTTCTCAATTACATGTCGGGGGCCACGCTTGTGGAAGTCAGTTCTTGACGAAAATATGAAAAAAATAAAATCTATTGATATATTCAAAAGAACTATAAAAAAACACTTACTAAACTCAAACATTACATACATTCTTTCATTTTTTTAAAAATAATATTTTTTTGATAAATTTGATAAAAAGTTTTTTTTTTTTTTTTTTTTTTTTTATATATATATACATATATATCTTTCTTGTTTGATTTTCTCTTTGAATGTTTTTTTTTTAACTTTTTTTAATAAATACTAACAAATGAATTTAAATCTACATAACGTTTGGAATCTTTTTAATATATAAATATTTTTGAATATATACTTCGCTTTGTATTGAATATGTATACGTATATGTACTGATTTGTAAAAAAAAAATTCAAACTTTTTAATTTACGCATTGTATACATTTTTATTTTTTTATTTCGAGATTTTATTATTATTATTATATTTATTTTTTTTTCTTTCTAATTTTTACTTTTTTTAATTTTTAATTTATTTTAAACTTTTTAATTTTTTTCAATCTTTTTACTTTATTTCAAACTCTTTAAATTTTTTTATTTTTATTTTAATTTTGTTTGAATGTTTGTTTATTTTTTCAAAATTTTTAATTTAACTCTTTTTTATATTATTGGAATTTTAGAAATTTTATATTTCTCTATTTCACAAAAGGGCTTGATGATAAGACTTTATGTCTTCTACTTGCCCCTGTCAGCTTGTAATTATATATATATTTATTCGAATTTAAAGATAACATTGTAAAATGTGTAAAACGACAAAATAAACTAACTATATATTAATTAGGCAAATAAAAAAATCAAACTTGCTATTCGCTGATAATTAGTCAATTACTGGCAACACAAAATAAAAAATCATTTATAAACAAAGTGATTGCTATATGTAAAACTCGTGGCTTGAACATCTTTCAATGCATAATAGTTGGTAAAAAAATTAAATTCACACTACCTCAAAAAGAACTGCAAGCTGATACTATATCAATATTAAAAGAAGCGTTCCAATTATGGAATTTAAAAGAACAACAAGAAAAATTTAAAACAATGATGGAGGAGAATATTTCTAAAATAGATCTAACCGTCTAGTTATTAGCATTAAAGACAAATAATTGGAGAGCCGAGAATTTAATTTGTAACTGTTTTAATATAAATTAGTTTACCTGTAATTTTATTACTGGGTGTTTAATAGAAAATAATAATAATAAAAAAATATAACGGGTGATGCGTAATTAGTGACACAAAAGTTAACTTAGTTTTGCTCGTAATATAATCTTTTTCATTAAACCATATAAACTTATTTTGGTAAATTGAATATTCTAGTTTTATTAAAAAAAAAAATTATCCAAAAAAAAATGTTAAACGGCCAAGAAAGAGCAGCTCTTCAAAAAAGTGTCAAATTTTTTTTTGTAAAAAACCCAAAAGCGACCAAAGCCGAAGCCGCTAACCATTTTATTAAAGAAGGAATCGCTCGCAAAGCAGCATATAGATATATCAATCGACAGCTTGATGGACAATGTTTAAAAATAAAAAAAAATTCTGGTCGCCCGTCATCGTGGACTCAAGAAAAAAAAGCGAAACTTAAAAGGTTGACCAACAATCGAAAAGGTGTAAGTCAAAGAAAGCTCGCACGTAAATTCAACGTAAATCAAGCAACAATTTGTAGACAATTAGCCAAAATGAACATAAAATATCGGAAACGCGAAAAAACACCGAAATACAATGATGAACAACGTCTAAGGGCACAAAAAAGAAGTCGAAAACTCGTCAATCACCTCTACAAAGAACAAAGCGTTTTAATTTTGGACGACGAAAAATACTTTTGTTTTGCTGGCGATGAAATGCCTGGAAACGTCGGTTATTACACGAACGACAAAGAAAAATGTCTAGAAAATGTTCGTTTTGAGGGAAAAGAGAAATTTTCGAAAAAAATTCTCGTTTGGATCGCATTATCTGAGCGTGGAATGTCGAAACCACTCTTCCGGTCGTCAACCTCGGCTGCAATAAAATTCGAAATTTATATCAAAGAATGCTTAGAGGAACGATTGTTGCCATTCATAAATAAGTATCACGATGATTTAAATTACATATTTTGGCCGGATTTGGCTAGTGCCCATAGAGCTAAAGAGGCAATATCGTGGATGAATGAAATGATTAACTTCGTGCCGGTCGATATGAACCCTCCTAATGTCCCCAAAGCCAGGCCAATCGAAGACTTTTGGGGAGTATTGGCTCAGAATGTGTATGAGGGTGGATGGGAGGCCAAAAGTGAACAACAACTGATTCGGCGTATTGAAGCCTGTCTGAAAAAAATTGATTTGACATTTTTACAATCCCTTATGAAGGGTATCAAAACTAAATTGAGATTAATAGCCGATCAAGACGTTCAATCGATTTACAAAAAATAATTTTTAAAAAATAAATATTGTGTTATTATTTTTTAAAAATGAAAAATTTTTTTCTTTTATTTCTTTAAAAATATAAGGCTTTGATTTTTGTGTCACTAATTATGCATCACCCGTTATGTATATAATTTTCATTACAAATTTGCGTTTAGGTAATGCGATTTAGTATATTTGCATATTTAGTAAATTTGTTTAGAGCAAAGAGCAGCCGTGGCGCAGTGGTAGCGTACTTGCCTCAGAAACATAAGATCCATGGCTCAAACCCCACCTCTGAGCAGGTATTGCGACATCGGTTGGGAAGGAGGCTATTAAATGCTCTTTCGTGGTGCACCTAGAAAAAAAAAAAGATAGATTATCTTATATTTTATGATAATTTTGTTTTTTATAATGTTTTTTTTTGGTTACCTATAGGGTAACCAAAAAATTTATAGAATACAATAAATTAACAGATGATAGACTGAAGAAATAAACTATAACTCGAAACTAAAAATAGCCAAAGTCACACCGATTTTTAAGTCGGGTGAAAAAACAAATGTTTCTAACTACAGACCTATTTCTGTATTACCTTGTTTCCTTAAATTGCTAGAACACATTATGTGCAATAGGCTTTATAATCATTTAGTATCAAATAATATTCTGTACAACAAACAATTTGGGTTTAAAAAAAATCATTCTGCGGATCACGCGGTAATTGAGCTTGTATAGCATATATTGGATGCTTTTGATAAAGATTATTTTACCTTAGGAATTTTCATTGATTTATCCAAAGCATTTGACACTGTCAATCATGAAATCCTTATAAAAAAATTAGAACTTTATGGAGTAAACAACTTAAACTTACTTTGGCTTAAAAACTACTTGACTAACAGAAAACAATGCATAACCTGTGAAACAAATGAAACCAAAAAAAAACTTATAAGCTGCGGGGTTCCTCAAGGATCTATTTTAGGACCATTATTGTTTCTAGTATATATAAATGACTTATTTTTAGCATCAAAAAAATTATATCTTATATTGTTTGCTGACGATTCCAATCTGTTTTATTCACACAGAGATATAAAAATTATTTTTAAAATTTTTAATGAAGAATTATCTAAAGTAAATGAATGGTTTATAAGTAACCGCCTTTCACTAAATGTAGATAAAACTAAATTCATCATGTTCCACAAACCAAATAAAGTTGATAATATTCCACTTAAACTGACAAATCTTTTATTTAATATAACAGATGTAAAAAGGGAGTCTACTGTTAACTTTTTAGGCATAATTCTTGATGAAACCTTGTCATGGAAGTTTCACATCCAATCTATTGAAAGTAAAATCTCTTATAATATTTCCGTACTTTATAAAACAAAACCATTTTTAAATGCAAAAGCTCTAATGAAAGTTTATTTTTCATTTATTCACAGCTATCTTCCTTATTGCAACATTGCATGGGGAAGTACGAATTACGGAAAACTCAAAAAACTTTATAGTAAACAAAAGCATGCTTGTAGGATTATATTTGGGGCAAACAGAACTGTTTATTACGAACCGCTATTAAATCGTCTCAAGGCCTTAAACATTTATAAACTAAACATTTACCAAACATTACTTTTCATGTTTAAAATGAAACATAGAATATCTCCACTTATATTTCAATCTTATTTTAGCAAAATATCTCATAAGTATCCAACAAAGTTTTCAGAGGATAATTTTATTGTTCCGAGAATTAATTTAAAAATAAATTCTTATCGAATTCAATATCGAGGACTTTTTTTATGGAAAAATTTTATTAAAAAATTTAATAAAAATTTTATTAAAAACTTTAATAACGAACTACAAAAAACAAATAACGAAATCGTGAAAAATCAATGTGCGTCACAATTTAACAACACAAGTAATTGTGAACCTCATAAATCGCAAGAAAATATAAAATCTATTGTTTCAAATTCAATAAAATATCATTCCCCAAATCAAAGAAATACGCTGGAAGAAGTTACTGCACACTCCAGCACAGAGATTTCAAGTTTATATACCGATAGAAAAAATAAAATTAGAGATTCCTACGCAACCGTGGTTAAAATGCAAAACCCGGAACAAAATAACCGGAAACCAGAAAAAGAAAAAGACTGTGTAACAGACTATCAAGAATTCAAAGTGGTAGGAAAAAATAATAAAGTTAATAAGAGCCATATGGATAAGCAAAAAAAAGAACCCGTTTTCGGAAACAAAGTCGCTAGCAACAGAAGCTCGATTGCGGGCAAACGTATTATTCGAGAATCATATATATTTGTAGGCGGAGTTTGTAATTCCATATCCGAAGAAGATCTATCAAACTACATGAATAAAGAAATAGGTATTACTCCTTTAGACATAAAGCTTAATAGAGAAAACATGTACAACCGCTCTTTCAAAGTAAAAATTAATAGTACTGAAAAAGGAATGGTACTTAAACCCGATGTTTGGGATAACAACATTATTGTTAAACCGTTTAGAATGCGGCGAGAAGCACTAACAATCGAAAAACCACATCAAAATACCGAAAATCATTTGCCACAATTCTTACACCACTCTTCAGCATTTATGCAACAATAAAAATTGAAATCATAATGGGAGAAAAAGAATTAAATGTAACTAACACAAATATTACGCTATGTGCATATAACTGTCAAAGCTTTAAATCGAATTCATATTATATTTCTAAGTTGTTAAAGTCTTTCGATATTATTTTTATATCAGAACATTGGCTTTTAAATATTGAGAGTTTTTTGTTAAATAACATTGCATTACTAACACACAAAGTTTTTTTTCATGCGGCAGAAAAAAATACACACGGTAGACCATATGGAGGAAATGCTTTTATGGTACGAAAAAAATTGTCGTCTTTTTACATAATACATGAAGATGAAAACATTCTTGCTATTAAAGGCACACTTAACAATCGTAACTTAATTTTTATTGGTGTTTACCTTTCATCTTGTCGTAATAATAACGAATCATACGCAAAATACTCTTCTCAGTTACAAACAATCACTTCAATAATGAACAACTATGAGGATGAAGGAGAATGTATTATTTCCGGAGACTTTCAGTCATTTCCATATAAAATATATGATTCAGAGCTTCGTAAAAACAAAACTAGGAACAATTTCTCAAAACATCTCACTAATTTTATTGAATCAAATCAGCTCGCTTTTGTCGATATAATCAACGGTGCTGGGCCTACTTATACCTATCAACATAAAACTCTTTCTAATTCTTCTTACATTGACCATATTGCATCCTATAAACAGACAGAACTATGTTTTACAAACTGTCAAGTTATGCAATCTTCACCGCTTAACCTTAGTGATCACCTTCCGGTGTCTACGAATATTAACTTTGAAGGTACCGGCTTATCACACGAAATAAATAATATAATGCAAAAATATAATTCAATACCAAAACATGCATGGAATAACGAAAGGTTTATTGACTTTTATAATCTCAATCTATCAAAAGCATTTACTAGTTACGCATTTAAGGAAGATAAAATAGAAGAAGAAATTCAAAAAACATGCTTATATATAAAAAATGCAGCTCTCTTGGCAGTTAAACAATGTTTCGGACAAAAAGAATTTTATAAGTACTCGAAACCTTGGTGGACACCTGAGCTTAAAAAAATTAAAGATAATCTCTCCTTTCACTTTAGACAATGGCAAAAATCAGGCTATAATAAGTCAACAGAATGTATATCCTACAAAAGATTTATTTATTCCCGAAAAAACTTTCGTAAAGCTGTAAAAGCGGCACATAACAAAAAAATTCACGAAAAAACTAAAAATAAAGAACACTTACGCAATACAAATCCTCAAAGGTTTTGGGGTAATATTCGAAAAATCAAAAAAAATACTAACAATCGACTCTTTACAATTAATAAATTGCAGAACAAAAACGAAATCGTCGAAGAATTTAGTCATCATTTCCAAAAACTACTTAATACACCGCAATATACAAATAACGAGTTCAATCCTCTCCAAATTCCACATTTAAGTAAAGAGCCTAATTCAAAAGTTATCTCGACAGCTGATATTGAAAAATGTATTTTAAAGCTTAAAAATAATAAATCTTACGATTGCTATGAAATCAGTGCTGAACATCTTAAAAACTCTCACAACAAGAATCTTCTTATTTTACTTTCGTCGTTTTATAACAATATGTTAACAAATGGAAAGGTTCCACACGGTTTATCAACCGCCAAAATTATCCCATTAGTCAAGTCTTATAAAACATCACTAGAAAATCCAAATAACTATCGAGGAATCAGCATTATACCAATTTTTACAAAACTTCTCGAATATCTTATCATACACATATGTCCAGATATAACAGAAAGTCATTCCCATCAATTCGGTTTTAAAGAAAACAGCTCTACCCTCCACGCAGAATTTCTTCTGAGTGAAACAATAAAGCACTATAATCATAATAACTCACCGCTATATATATGCAGTCTAGACGCCAACAAAGCTTTTGACAGTTGTAATTGGGAATTACTATTCGAGAAACTCTATTACCAGAAAAAAATCCCATTATCTATAGTTCATACAATATTATCACTATATCAAACAGGAACTTCTAATATATCATATCTTGGATGTACATCAAACAAATTTAGGCTGTCTCAGGGAGTGCGTCAAGGATCCATACTGTCGCCTCATCTCTACAATATCTACACAGAGAACCTTCTAGAGAAAATTGTTTTAGAATCAAAAGTTGGAACTTCAATAAATGGTGTATACACAGGTATCATTGCATATGCTGATGATATAGTTTTACAAAGTTCCACTATATCTGGTCTTCAGAGCCTTATTAACATTGTTCAAAAGTATGGACTATCGAACTTTATTAAACTGAATACAGAAAAAACTGAATTTCTAATATCTGGAATAAGTTCGATTTTAATTAACGTTATTTATATTAACGGTGATCCTATCAAGCCTCAAAACAATCTAAAACATCTTGGTTTCCTTTGGGATAATAAG